CCAGGAGCACTCTGCAAGCCTCCCCAAGGCTATTCATGCTTTTTGTTTTTGAAAAAAATGATTCAATTAACATGGATAAATACACCTGGAAACATCTACTTACCTACCTACTCTCTCTCCCTACCTACCTTCTGTATTTCTCTTTACCTACCAACCTACCTACTCACTCTCTCTCTGTCTCCCAACCTATCTACTGTATTTCTCTCTATCCTTCTATTTTTCTCTCTCTCTCCCTACCTACCTTCTGTATTTCTCTTTACCTACCAACCTACCTACTCACTCTCTCTCTGTCTCCCAACCTATCTACTGTATTTCTCTCTATCTTTCTATTTCTCTCTCTCTCTCCCTCCCTACCTACACACTCTCTCTCTCCCTCCCTCCCTATTGTATTTCTCTATTTTTCTCTCTATTTCTCTCTCTCTATCCCTTTATCTACCTACCTACCTACCTACCTACCTACCTACTCTCTCCCTCTCCCGACCTACCTACTGTATTTCTCTCTCTCTCCCTACCTACCTACACACACTCTCTCTCCCTCCCTACCTATTGTATTTCTCTATTTTTTCTCTCTCTGTTTCTCTCTCTCTCTCTATCCCTTTATCTACCTACAGTATCTTTTTAAAATTTGCCTCTTCAAAACCTTGGTGCATCTTATACTCCGCTACGTCTTATACTCTGAAAAATGCGGTATCTTTTTTTCCTTGACAAAGTATTTTTATATTTGTGTTTTTCCAGTTTTTTCATTATTTTAAGATGCAATACAAAATAAACTTTTAAAAAGATACTGTAAAGCTGTAATAGATTCAGAAAAGGAGAAACAAAAGTGGCTCTTTAGAATAGCTAAAGTAATTCTTTGCAAAAAAAATCATATAGCAAAGCAAGCTATGAACAGGACAAAGAATTCTCTAGACAGAAAGTTGAATAATAATAACAAAAGTATTAAAGTCAACGAAGACGTAGATGTTTATACTGAGATGTTTTATCACTCTAATATATTAGAACTTTGAATCATTCATTAAAGTTAAATATGTGAAGATTTAAGACACACAGATACATTATGCATACAGTAGTTAAGTTTGAGATTAGCAATTTCCAGATGTGGTGATGCCACTACTGTAATTTCAACAGTTTAAAAGGAATTAAGAAAATCTGTAGATGAGTATTTATTACCTTTAGAAAAAAGGCAGCACAAAGAGCTGCAGGCTAAAAAGAAAAAGTAAAAAACATTTGTTATCTATATATGAACTTCCCAGATGCATCCTATTTTTCATGCAATATAGAATACAGAGCCAGAGAGATCAAAAGGGCAGAATCTGGCAAATGGATCACAAGATAAACAGTCACAAAGAATGGAATAGGATGTCATGTGAAAGTGTACTGTCTACACATGTGATGTCATCACTCTAGCCTTGACTACTTTTTCCCCAAAAGAAATGAATAATCAAATTCTAAACCATTTATTCAGCAAATACAAGGGAAAGAGAAAGAGCAAATAGAGGTAGATATCTGAAAAGTATAGGTTAAAAGAAAGGATAAGTTTGATTTGCCTGTATAATCAGAATTCTAGCTCTTTATGAATAAGCATTATGCCTACCTGACTGCTCCTACCAATGAAAGCAACTGAATAAACTATGAAATCCTTATCTATGATTTATCATTGTCTCTGAATCAGGAGCCCTGGCTTGTATTCTTTTTAAGAAACAAAGATCAAACATTAGAATTACTTTATTTGCTTATTCCAGCTAAACTAAAAGCCAAGTTTAATATCTTGGATTGCACATTATATCAAACATGGTTTGTTTGATATAATGTGCAATCCAAGATATTAAACTTGGCTTTTAGTTTAGCTGGAATAAGCAAATAAGTAATTCTAAATTTTTAAACTGTTTGTATTGTTGTTTGTTTTTTTCTTTTTACTTTTTGTATTGTGACCCTTCCCTTCTGGTTTGTCAGCCGCCCTGAGTCCCTCCGCGAATAGGGTGGCATACAAGTCGAATAAACCAACCAACCAACCAACCCATGATTGCCAGCTTCCTGAATTGTTCATCCATTGCAGCTTGCAAAAAGACCGAAGCAGAACAAGTCTGCTGTATTTGCAACAACATTCTTATTTGCTCATTTAAAATGGTAGTTTATGGTGACATGTAAACTGAGCTACAATATGAAAACAATAGTTAAGATAACTGTTTAAGCAAGTTATGCATTTTAGAAACTGCTTATGTTCTAAAAACAGAAATAACTCTATAATAGAAAGATTGTTACTCCTATTCGTAAAATGCACAAAACTATACCACACAAAACTTCAGCATCCAAAAGCTATTGTGTGAAAAGTGATGGCCACTAATTCCTATATGAATTCCATATGTTGTTCAATGAACATACAGTACATGGATGGCATTATACTTTAATGTGACTATTAACTGGTTCATTTGGCTATATAATTTCTAATAGAAGGCTAACTTACAGCATTTAAAATGCATTTTTATTAGACTGCATACAGTACACCTCTAATTAAGCAACGGACTTACTTTGGAACTTGTGTTCAATAAAAGAACCAAATCCTTTTAAACAGAAATACTCATCTGATCGTCCCATGCTTCCCCTCCCCCCCCAGCAATCTAGTTCAAGTGGAGATGGGGAGTTCCTTTGTTTCTGCTAATGTTAAAACTATTAGGAATATCACATAGCCCCACTCATCTATTTCCTTCCTATCTCTGGTTTATGTAGCTTTTATTGCTGTTTATTGCTTTGTCCCTAAATCTGATACTATATGGCTTTTGTGTGAGCACCTGTAAGGAGAATGTAGAATTATGCCACATACATTTATTATAGGCTAGAAGACAAAAGTTGAATTATGCTGTTTCTTTTTTTATATTTGGTATTATATTTGTATCATGCATGCATATATGTATATTTATTCAGAAGGAAAAAAATCAATTGACTCTTCGGGCATGTTAGGTCCACCAAGTGTAGCATTCTACAAGTGTGATATAAAAATACAGACCTCATTATTATTATCTAGTGTTACCCAACACTCTTACAGGCCATTTTTATCCCACTCTCTTCCCTATTTTCATTTATTGGACCTAAGACGCATAAAGGCTTTCACAGTACAACTGCATTTTGATATTCTGTAAGAGAATAAAAATGGGATTCTACTGTATTATGACTGTAATATAATTATGTATAAAATACAATACTAAGGTAATTGCCAGCCTAATTCAGATATTCTTGAGTGGGTCTAGATTTGTTCAAATATGCCAATAGTCAACAGAATTCAGACTCAACGCATTCAAAAGCAACTTACTTTTACATTCAAGGAACATACCGGTATAATAGAAGATAAAAACAGATGACAGAACCAGAACATTAAAATTTTTAAAAATAATATCACAATAGAAAACATGCATGTATATTTAGAAGAAATGAATCGGGAAGTACATTTTATTTTTTTTTTCATAAATAAGAACTTTATATAAGCCTGCTTTCTCACTATTAATTGAAGCTAAATTGCATAGGAGAACAGTCTAGTAACCACAGTGGGACATATATTTATAAAGGTATAAAGGGATGATTGTAAAACACAGTAATCATGTAGCAGTACTACCACAAGAAAATTATAATCTTATCCCATACTTCTTCAAAGGGTCCAGAGAGAGTCACATGTTCTTTCTCTGCTGTCCCTCTCCTTTGCTTTTTCACTTCAAGCTCATCCTTGAAGCTGGGAAGCAGGCTAAAGTTCATCACATCACACTACTTTAAATCAGGCCAGCCATCCCCATCCTGTTGTCTTCCAGATATACTGCGCTCCCATCATCCCCAGCCAGTATAACTATTGTTGAGGTTCACTGGGAATGATGAAGTGAAAATCCATATTTTGAGGGGAACGCTCCAAATTGTAAAAAAAAAATATTAGATATGTTTTCGGAAGTTCAATGTAGACCAAACACAATAAAAAGCACAACCATATGTATGTCTATTAAGCAATCTTATTGAATTAATTAAGACTTCTCTGATGTACTTATAAGACTTAGTACTTTAAAGGAGATGCCATAATAATGGTCTTTCCAAAGAGAGAATTTTAACTCCCCAAATTATCCATGAGGACCATTACAGTTACTGGACATGTGCAACATGTTTTAACCATTTAAGAGCCACTACAAAGAATAAAACCCTAAACTACAACCAGATTTTTCTTGGTGTGGTGCTTTACTCTCTTAAACCGAAACGACCAGCAGGAAATTATAGAACGCAAGATCGTTCCCTTTTGGAGTTAGGATTTAGGCTAATTTAACAAAAGACATATTGCACTTTTAATAATAAAAGTAAGACTCTGAAGAACATGGAAGGTCTACAAAGGATAAGAAGAACTGTATATAGATGAGAAAAAGTACTCCCTACGCGTCCCATGTTTTGGACAGTGGATGTTCTTATCAGAATGACCAACGCACCAAGGAAGCCTTAAGATAACGACTGCATTTCCTCACCTGAAGGTTGAGCATTCCTTGGACAGTCTAAAAGGGGAAGAGGTCGAGTCGCCACTACTGAGCCGGCCACCGCCCCTTTTGTTAAACAGCTTCTGGAGCAGCGTCGGAGCCATGCTACTGCGCTTCCTCCTGAGCTGAGCGGAGTATGGGAGTGGAATCAGGGCACGCCAGCGACAGACCCCTCAGCCAGCCACGATCAAGACTTCCTATCTCTGCAGCGTTAGTAGTAGCCCCCATGCCAGCTCCAAGCTGGACATCCAGACTTGCGCTAAGCCGAGCTTACTTAATTCATTCTCTCTCGGAACAGGGCAGGCGCCTCCCTCTTTTTCCTAGACTGGCATTAATGGAGCCGATCAGTCATATGACTAGGGAAAAAAATCTGAAAGTGTTTGTTCAGTCTCACGCGTAGCGCACATACAGCGCCCCCCACCTTCAGCCTTTGGCTGCGATTTCAGAGCTCGGCATCTCAATCTTGCAATCTTTCCAAAGGCACAACGCCCCCTCTTGTCTTTGTCACCGGGATTCTAAGCTTTGCTGAAGCTGGGCGCAAAGCTTTGAAAGCTAGGGTTAAAGGTATGCGAGGCTTTTCTTGGTTTTTTTTAAAAAATTAGAAAAGTTTTGAAATTTCTCGAAAGGAATAGAAAATTATACTGTTAGAAGAAATGTCCTTCTGGGTTCGGCTCCAACTGGGAAAAAAGACACCGGAGACATGGAGGCTGCTTGGAAAGATGGTTTTAATGGTGGACAGGACCACAGGGTCTTGAGTCTTGAACAGAAAAGATGATCACATGCTTCAATGTTGGTGGAGAAAAGAGAAGGGCCGACTGAGATGCTGAGTCCCTGGTTTTTCCCCCTCTGGCCTTTGATCTTGAGCTTGTATTCTGATTGGTTGTCAGAATCCTATGGAGCCATGCAGGGGCAACTCTCTAGGCTGCGTTTTGAATCCAGGTTGAGTTCTCAGATGCCATGTGGTGAGTTGGGTAAAGGGCCAATATTATCATGCCTTAATCCCACCCACCCCCTGGGAGCTGAAGGGGAGAACTCTTTATTATGTAAAGGGACTGCCTTGGCCTTCTTAATGGCCCATTGACAAAGTGGGTGGGGGCAGGAAGCTCTCTTTTTAGAAAACATGTTTCTTCTTTTTCACATCCAGAGAAATATTCTGCCTTTTCAATATTTCCTAGGATATTGCATTTTTCTGGGAGAGGGCTGGGTGATAACTTCCTACAATACTAAAGATACTTATTTCTGCACTCCTAATATTTTGCAGTAATGAACGCTTAGCACAGCACAACTGGGAGTGGCTCGTTCCAGTTTTTCGAGGTGAATATTTTAAAAAAGGACACATTTAATAACCCTTTTCATATTGATGTAGATTTCCTTGCTAAATCCCATATTAGTTAGGGGGTACTAGAACAAGAACTATCATATCTATGTGAATTGAGAAAAACTAAGAAAGTTTGTTGATTGTCAACAGAATTTTGAAATAAGAAATAAGGATGGAGCTATCAGATTTGGGCTACGAGCAATTTGATTGTTAGATGGCAACAGAAAAATCTAATTCTTTGCTGATCTCTAGTGATGGTCAAGATTCTAGAGCTCAAGTTTCAGAGGTTTAATTTGAAAGAAAAAAAAATAGAGGCCAAATCCTAATTTTAAAGTAAATTGGCCTGAAAGTATAATGAGTCACTACTGTCAGCAAGTATCCCCTTTTCAAAATACTTTTGCTGGCTACAGGTTTATAGAGAATTGTCAAGGTAAATCAATGTATGATGGTAAAGTGCTGAAAAATAGTAGAAAAAATAATAAACCACAACTCAAAATCCATTGGTCCTGGGGCATGTTATCAGAGCTGATAGAGAATCAAGCCATGATTTTTAAATCATTATCACAACATTATAATAGGAACTCCAGTATATAATTTGCTCTCTATCCCATCTACACATACACTCAGAAATTACTGAGTTAGGCAGCAATCAATCGCTTAGGACTTAACAAACTTAAACTGTATATGTATTTATAAACGATCATATGGATATACAAATAAAATGCAATTCTATATATGTTTATCAAAGTTATACCCTACTGAATCAATTAAAGCAGCAGCTCCCAACCTTTTGGACACCAGGGACCGGTTCCATGGAGGTTTTTCCATGGACCAGAGGAGGTGTGGTTTTGCATGCTGCCTGCATCCTGCGGATGGGGTTTCGCTTGTTTGCACAGCTTGGTTGCTGGCATGCTATGGACCAGTACCAGTCCATGGAATGGAGTTTGGGGACCTCTGAGTTAGATAATTTTGAAAAGTTATATTATAACGTATGAATACATTAAACTTACTGACCCTTTTACCTGGGAATTTTAATTTAAAACTATCTGAAAAAACATAAAAGTAGATCATCTGGATCAAGACAAAAGTCCTTTAATCCAGCACTTTGTGTGTCATAGTAGATAACCAGATACCTCTGGTTTGCTTGCAAGCACAAAAGGGCATATCCAGATGTTATTCCTTTATGACTAATATTTGGAGGCATGATTTTCCAATTCAGAGATAATGTTGGATCTTCTAGCCTTCATAGAGCCGAGGTGGCGCGGTGGTTAGGGTGCGATACTGCAGGCCACTTCAGCTGACTGT